CAGATAATCCCGAGCAACCTGATTCTCAATAGGACTAGTAAGACCCAAACTGAAATTATGGGAATTCTCGAATTGCTTAGCAAGTTTCTGAGTTTTTTTTTTTCAAATTTGTGATCAAAATTTTACCACCGTCTTTAAGCGCTGGAATAGGCTTTTGAGGTTTTTTCAAAATTTTTGTGAGTTTCCAAAAGGGTTTGGAACTCGGGTCTAATTTAGAAACATTATTTTAAAAAGTTTTGTTCCTCAGGTCAAAGAATCGCTTTTAAATTTGTTTTTACAAATCCCACCAGATAATCTTCATGGCAGGACCGCGTTTTTTTTTTATTTTGTCTCCTACGGACATTTTTAAGACGGATCAAGACCTGAAGATCGTCGTCTATTATAATTTAATCGAATTTAACCTCGCATTTTGGTACTGAGGCAGCTCTTGCTTCAACTATAGAAGTAGTCAGAGATTCAAGAGCATAATTAATTTCATCTTTGGTTTGCAAAGGAATGTTTGGATCGACGTTATATTCCATAAATGTTCGATATTGCTCCCAATTAGCTCTATGGTAAATGAAAGTAGAGCTGTTGGGATTACAAATTATTTCTTGGGATATTTCATTGCAGCAAATGTATCATTTCGGTTAAAGCCATGCAACTATTTGACGAACCGATCATCATCCTCATTGTCGATGGGACTAAATTGCTAATTCAATTGGCGGTCTGAAAGCAGTTTGCATTGCAGAAGATGAACCAACACTGGAGCAAAAAATAAATTAAATTAGCTAAATTGAACAGTAGGGAAACGGTGGTAGGAGGACAACACCATCCACCACGCGCTTTGGAGTACTCCCCATCCCCAGATTAAATGCACCATAGAAAAAAAATTGCCCCTCCTTAACAAGATTCCTGTGCACGCTAGTGTACTCGACTATGAGGACTGGGTTTGGGAAGAACGTTTAACAGTGATAAAATTATCACTTTTTATGTGTACATTGGACAACGCTTGACATTACTGCTTTTTCAAAAGCTGTTAAAAATCATCAGTTGTTAAAGATGCGTAGAAATATTTCTGATCGATAAGTGATAAAATTATTGAAATTGTTCCAGGGACAGCTGAGTTATTAATGTTCAAAATCTTTCATAATTTTGTTTTATGTTCCATTTTTGTGATTAGTTCCACGCGCAAATGTCGCAAAAAGACATTTAAATCGCCGTGGGAGTGTCCTGGTGGACCGTCAAAAGGGTTTTAGACCGAGAAAAGAAAGGACAACTATCCGCGAATGTGGGCACAGGTCGTTCGAGGTCAGCTCGGGTTCCGAGGGTTATCGCTGCTATCAAAAGGAAGATTCGGGTGAATCCAGTGCGTTCAATAAGGAAAATGGCAAAGGAACACGGAATCAGTGACTTTACGGCACGGGGGATCGTAAAAAAAGATTGCGGGGCGAAGTCGAGGGTACGGAAAAAGCTCACATGATTACCAACCGCATCCGGGAGCTACGAGTCGAACGATGCAAGAAAATCTTGAACTTCCTTAAGCGAAAAAATCCGGTAATCCTGTTAACCGACGAGAGCATGTTTACCGTCGATCCCGTATCAAATTCTAGAACCGACCGGTATATTAGTTCTCTTTCGGTAAAAGACGTGGCCTGCTAGCGTTATGGTGTTTGGATTGGTGGCTTCCGATGGCAAAAAAATGGACCCGGTGTTCATTCCAGAAGGCGACAAGCTCAACACGGAAGTCTACATCGGGATTTTAAGTAAATATGTTCTTCCGTGGATCAAAGAACAGTACGGTCTGAAGCCAAATGTTGTATTTCAACAAGATGGGGCTCCGTGCCACACCTCGAACCGCACTCAGAAGTGGTTGCAGTAACATCTTCCGTTCTGGGCGAAGGATATGTGGCCACTATCCAGCCCCGATCTTAATCCGCTGGATTACTCAATATGGCGCGTCATGAAGGCGAAGGCCAGTTCTAAACGCCACCCGAGTTCAGCAAGCCTCAGACAAACATTGACCCGTACCTGGAGAGAAATTGATCCAGACTACATTATTAGAACCTGCCGTGCATTCCGGAAGCGTGTGGAGGTCGTAATTGCAGCAAGTGGAAACTCGATCCATGATTAACATAGTTTAAGACTCTGAGAAACATCCCCCTTTGAGAAAATTAAAAAAACTCGAAAACGAAATTTTTGAGATTTTTTTAAATTTTGACATTGCTTAATGGTGCAAACATTATCACGCATATGGTAGTTGACCATTGAAATATTATGACTGTTCTTAGAGTTTGATATTTTTCTTTTCAAGAGTCTGGAGTTTCGAAAAAGTTTTATCAAAATTTTGAAAAGAATTCCAAAGGAATTAGATGAAAATTGAAAAATAATTCGATAAATAATTCCAAGAGATTAAGAAAAAAACAATCCACGGAAATTACGAGCGAAGTTCTGGTGCATTCTTAGGAAAATTTCAAGATAGCTCTGAGAAGAACTCTATGATAATGGATCAATGAAAATGCTGTTACAACAACTCAAGTAAAGGTATGATGGGATATGAGAGGCTCGGTGGCCTTAGAGCGATCGTTTTTGCTTACTCAGCAGAATATCATGAGTCTAATCTCAGGCCCATCCACATTCAAGATTCGTCAATTGCTTTATTTGTTAATATGACTACATGGCAATAGCAACAACTCAATGATCAAAAAGAAGTGTTTTTGCTTACTGAGCAGAAGATCGTGGGTTCAATCCTAAGCTCCTTTGCGTTAGCACATCAATGCAGCTTATCGTTTACCAAATCGAACCCTGCTGCAATCCCAACGCTATTACCCAATATCCCAGGGATTCCTCGTGGAAGTGCAGAGGACTCCTTGGCTTCCATCGAAGCGAGTGTCACGTCAACACATTCCAACCCATTCCTTTCTTGACCTGTGTTCGGGCGCGGCCGGCGCTGGTATTGCCTAGTTTGAGATCACCTGTTTTTACACATTGAGGATGATTGCTAGTCCCGAGCAGCGTCTATTGGTTCTCTGTGTAATTACAGCTGATCTGGCAATAACAGATTAGCAACCGTAGGCGGTCAATCATGCTCATGCATGCTCAATTCTGCCAAGAATAGTTTTGGAATTTTGGGGGATAATTTTAAAGGAATAAAAGTGCATATTCGAAAGAAATGCTGAGGAGAATTTAAAAAAAAATCTGTTATTTCTATGGGAGTGAGATGGATTACAAGGAATTTCTGTGGAGACAAAAGCAAGTTCTGAATCGAATTCCTAGCTGATTCAGTGGAGAATAAATGGGAATCAAGATGAATAATAGAAGGAAAATTTTAAGGATGATTCCAAGAGAATTATGATGAAAGTTCAAAAAGAGTTATTAGTAAAATTGACGTTGATTTCAAAGACATACTGGAAATGATTCAGAAAAGAACTTCAAATGAATTTCAAGAAAAATAGCAAAGGAATCGTTTTCCGAGGATAATTCCAAACAAAGAATGGAGGAGAAGAAGAGAAAAGTAAATTCAGAAGAGAATTTCAAGGGATTTGCGAGGAGGGTTTTGGGTTAAAAAAAAATTGAGAAGATTTTTTACTCGTAAAAGTTGTTAAACCAGGTAGACAATTTCTCTGGTGAGTGTCTTAGTTAGATAAAAAATCACCAAAATTGTGTATGATTGGTTGTCTACGCAGGGAAATTTTTTTAAAATATGCCACATAATTATGCAAAATTGTATGCAAATTATAAAAGGTAGAATTTTTTCCGATTTGGAGTGGAACTGCTCCCATGTAAAGCAGGAAGCTTGAATTTCGTTATTTTCCAGTGAAACCTTGAATGTCTTCCAAACGAACAAAGACCTTTTTGGCGGGTATTTAAATGATTTGAGCCACTTCATGGCTTAAGGAAATGACTTAGCATGTCCCGATTAACGGAGCCTACGATGATAAAAATGCAACTATACAAAATTTGACCTCAGGACTCTATCGTAGCTTCACCCCAAGGACTGAATCTAGCCGCAAATGTTTCCCTCCACCCCTACCACCATCACCACAGCCAGTGCAGCGAATTAATGCGCCTTTTACGATGTTTTACTACTTCTTAAAAGTCATCATGCAAAACAACGCTAAAAACAGTACCCCTACACTTAAAACATGTGCACTGCAATCCAACACCTTTCCCCACCTCGAAAGTACCGCCCCCCCAATGGACTTCCAATGTGGCAGTCATCAAACTTTAACGACTTTTTAGTCATCATTTCGTATCATTTCAATTAACAACCATGAAAGAAGTGGTTCATTCAAAGAAGGTTACACACAGCTCACGATGTAAAGTATGTACCACGCGTGCTCATTAAGGCCTCTTTCTGTCTCCTCTTGCGGCTCGGAGCGGCTTTGTGTCCGAGCAAGCGGGAAATAACTTATCCTTTCGTCCGACGCCGCTGCCGAGAGTCGTTAAATTCCTACAAATGGCGCTTTAATTTTTCAATAATAAAAAAAAAATGGAAAACAAGACTTGCATACCCCCCCCCCCTTCCTGGCGCTTAAGGTGCATGTGCATGCGAGAGGGGGAGGGGGGACTCCTTTTAAGGTACTAAACCAACCAGCTTTTCGATCGCAAAACGCCGCACATTCGGTAGGAGCTTGACCGCTGTGAAATTGGTCTCGGCTCCGTGGTTTTATTGTCACCCGGGGGGCTGCCGTTTGATGATCTACGCAAGATCGCATTTCGGTGGCTGGCGGTGGTAATTTGGGCGACTTCGATGCCGAGCCGGGCCGGTGGAAAACGAAATAAATTTTAATGACAAATGACGCCGTAAAAATTCAATTTCGAGCGCCTGATAGGGACGGACGATAAGCGCCTTGGAATAAATTGTGGATAATATGTAGCAGAATGCAGCGGGTCTGGCAGCCAGTGGTGGACCTCCCCAACCGGAAAGGAAGGGTACTGCAGAGTTTCCACCGAGGTATTTTATTAGAATTTTATTGCTATAGGCTAAAAATGGCGAAAAACGGTTAAAAGCTACGCACCTGTTCCCGAGTCTGGACCGTGATGCTGTACTCGCATGGTAGGGGCGACTGAAATGGAAGAACGTAATGGAAGTGCTTTAATAAAAAAAAACTGGCGATTTTATGATTGCAATTCTGCGAGGCCTAATCCTAATCCGATGGCTTATAATAAAGATAGCAAGAGCGTTCGGAGTCATTCAACTCTTTTTTTTTATTGCATAACAACACTGATCAACTTGATCAACTCGATATCCCCCGACTGGCTCAAGCCGCCGTCAGTGACAGGACAGCGTCAGTGATCTGCGTCCCGAGGAGAATGCGGTTGCTCCGGAGGCGGTGGCAGCCAGCGAGGTTGATTTAATTCGAAATACCAATCTTTCAGTTTATTTCAATTTGCGGAAGAAATCGCGAGAGCCTGTAACACAATGTTCCGTTCGCAACGCACGCTTTCCGTTCGTCATAGGTCGATGGGGAACGTAAATCTGGCAGGGAACATGACATCCAAGGAATCCTTGGGATCGAGCAACGTGTTTGCTGCACCACCACTGCGGCGAATGGCGAATCATGATGGACACTTGGATGCTGCGTGCAGATTGGGTGGAAGGACGGATGTGTGGATGAAATATTGCTTCGGGGGGCGCCGGGTTCCTAGTGCGGCAAGATTGTATGTAAAGGGATGAAGTGTATGTGTCAAGACATGCGTTGGACTCGTTTCATGAATTGATATTTTACAAAATTGCGGTCAATTTACGGGTAGCTGGGAACTGGAGTTCAGCAAGCAAGTCGCCTGACGTTCAGAAACGATTGTAAGCACTGGTCTAGGGAAGTCAATTCATTTGACTATTTCTTTAAGGATGAGTTTGTTAAAAGAGAGATGCTCGACCCGATTCGTACCTTCCTCAATATTGACCTTTGCTCGCTTGCTATTTTCTATATAAAATTTTCACACTGACTAGTACTCTGACGGAACTTTCATCTCTTCATCTATCGGATAAAGTTACCACTTTAAGAGTGATATTTGACGTTAAGCCTCTCCAACTAAGTATTATTTGAATAGGTAAGGGTACGGTTCAATTCTAACCTCCATTTCATCACTCTGCACTAATTTTTCTAATTTGTTTTTTTTTAAACAATCAAATTATTAAGCTGATTTTAGAATCAGATCACGAATTGGTGATTGGAATGAAAATAAGAGGTGCATAGAACAATGTTCAAAGTATCGGACATAGACATGAAAAAACAAACGAAAATCAAAAAAGTTTTTCTTATATAGCTATTCAAAAGCAAACCAATATAGTGGTTCTCAGATTTTCGTAAAGATTGGTAGTTTTGTTCCTTATTGCAAAATATTAGACCCATATTTTTTTTACTTTGTCATTATGGTGACCATTCCCTTGTTAATTTTTTTTTAATTCCTAACTTTGTAACCATTTAGCCGATTTCAAAGATCAAAATATCAAATGTAAGGTAATTAAAAATACTTTTCAGAAAAAATATTACAATAGTATTTTTATTTTATTTTTTTACAAAAAAATACTATTAAGAAAATAATAGCTTTTGAACTACTAGGCCGATTTCAAAGATCAAAATATAAAATTAAAGATAATTAAATATAAATACTATTAGGAACAATATAATGATATTCAAAAATTGCAATTTTATATTGAAATACATTGATTGTTTTTTTTTTAATTGTTTTCATGGTTTGTAGGCAAAAGGCACAACATGTTTTTATTTTGTTTTTGAAAATTTCAGCTTTTTTACACAACATATAAAAAAATCAGCGAAGTGTTTTTTTTTTTCATTTTTAAGTTAAATATTTTTTTAGTAATGAAGTTTGGAACATCCAAAAAGTATTCTTAATTATGAAGAGCTTTGAGTGTGTTGGTTTATTTTCTTTTAATTCCGTTATAATTGCTTATCTTTTGACAGACACGCGTATTTCGTCTACTACTTGCAGACTTCATCAGTGCCAAGTACTGTGCACAGTGCTCCAGGATTGGAATTTAGCAAGACAAAAGTCCATAGTACTTTTGTTTTAGGATTTAGGCGTTTGGTGTATTTAGTGAAGTTTTTCTTCTTAAAATTATCCTTCTTTTGGTGCCTTCAAACATTAGGGTGATTCTCTAATTTTCTGAAATCCAAAAACTAACTTTCTTATTAAAAAAAAAATAAAGACAAACATTTTCCTAAGAAGTTGTTGGTGAATTAATTTCAAGCTACTTTGTTGGAAAAAGTTTTTTTTGTATCTCTTACCGTTTCCATTTTAGAGAATTCTTTCTGAACTGCGTAAGGGTGCACCCATAAAAATCAGTTTTTCAGCTCTAACCTTTATGTTTCAAATTTTTTTTTTAACTGTTTTCAAAGAACTTTTAGAACTCATCAAAATACACAACTTTGATCAAGAAATAAAATCTGTATCTCTCGACTATCAAAAGATATTGAAGATTTTATATACAAAATAGGCCCTTTTCAAATGTCAACCATTCAAAATGGGGCAAACGTACAGACATTTTTTAGTCATCTTTTGAAAGGATATACTTTAGTGTATATTATATGGGAAAACTGGAGATATGTTTTTTCTTTATCTCAAGTTAAACTTATTTAAGTTCATTCACTTTTGCAAATTTGGTAATAACTCCTTCTAAAATAGAAGAAGAAACGATATTTTAAAAGAAAAACGTGTGTCTTGCTATAAAAGTCTTTCTTATACTTTGTTATGTAAAATTGTAAATTGACAGGAAACAGTCAAGAACAGGTTATGAAATGACTGCCCAAAAAATATTAGCTTCTATCTCTCGATGTGTTTTCCGTCGATCTTGTTTTCCGTACTAAAGTACCAATGCTACCGACGTCAGGGAGGCAGCTCCCACCCTAAACCCTAGCTAACCGACCCATCAACTCATGGACCGAGGACTAACGGCTTTACTTCCCTTCCGAAGGAAGGCGTGACCAGAGATTTTTGCCTCAGAAAATCCGGACGGCGCCGACTGGGATTGAATCCAGGCCCATTGGGGTGAAAGAGGCAATCACGCTTACCATTACACCACCGGCGCTGCTTTGTATATTAGCTTCTTGTAATATAGAAAGTTTCCAAGTAGGTTTGAAAGGAGATCATCATTTGAGTACGTCGTGTTCAGCATTCGTTCAAGTTTATGAATGTTATGTTTTTGTGTCTTATCTAAGGGTTATTATTCCTTATTAATTAATCAATTTATTTAATTAAAATTTAAAATAATACTAATCTAATCCGCCAGCAGATATTTCGCATTATCTGGTAATTCTAAAGTAGATTAATTTGGTGAAGCTCTATCTCTAAGGGAAATCAGGGGGTCAGATGTCAAAAGCAATCTCAAAAATACATCTTCAATATTAACAAGCCTATCGAACTTTCGAGCGTGAAATTCTCGAAATTTCCTAATCGACTTATTATGCGTTTCCTGCGCTTCTTCGCTGCACATGCCAATCGGTAGTATGGTGTGCCTAATCAATGTCGCTCCATGAATCAATAATTTATGGATCGTTGGCGACAGCGGATACCATCCATATTTAATAATATATAACCTACGCGTTTCTTCTGCGTAAGAATGGTATGCTTTGTAGTTGATTTGCTTACGGCTGTTCACGATCATCAAAATCACATGCATGCGTGCACATATGCTAACCCTGTGATTTCACATATCACATTGAATTGTTGGCGGTATTCCCGTCGTTGGAGTTTCCACCTCCAGGCAGCGAATCACCTATCCGAAGCCCCAGCCGATTTCTTATTTCTGTAGCAACATACTTTTCCCAGTCTTTTACTGCGGCGTTAGTTTTAGAGACCCGCCAACCTTGCTTCCACAAATTCAACCAGGTAATACAATGTCTCTTTGAATATTAGGGTATCCGCTAAGGCTTTGTATGCAATTTCCAGTTTCAATGGTGCAGACATTTTCACAAATCGAACTAATAACAATAACCTCGTGTTTTGTAGGCAGCCTGCTATGCTAAACACGTGCTGAAACCACTGACATAAGCAGACAACTATTTCGACAGTGAGCATGCATAAGGGCGAATACGCGATGATCGATTCTCTTCATCGATTTTCTCTTTGCATTGCTACAGCTAAGCGAAACAATTTTGTAGAATTTTTTCAATGCAGAGTAGTAACAGGTTGTATTGGCTATCAAAAGCAACAGCAAACGCACCGATAAACATTCAATCTAGCGAGTTATTAACGAAAGAAAAAATCGACGAAGAGAATCGATCATCGCGTATAGGCCCTTATGCATGCTCACTGTCGATTTAACTGTTGTTTAATCCCGAACATTGCATTAGGTCCAATGTAATATAGAAAGATTCTCTTCGTCGATTTTCTCTTTGCATCCCCACAGCGATGTTAAGTCATTTTTAGCTGTTTACAACGCGCAGTGCGATAAAAGTAGTTATTATCCACCATCTCATACCAAAAACAGGACAAGTAACGGTTTTGTAGCCAAGTTATTAACAAAAGAGAAAGCCGACGAAGAGAATATGTCAATGCTACATTGGACCTAATGCAATGTTCGGGTTGATTTACGTTGCGGTAATGATTCTGCTGCATTATTTTTTTCCTTTGGTTTGTTTTTTCCGTCGATCTTGTTTTCCGTGCTGAGCACCAAAGCTAGCGACGTGCCAGGAAGGCAGCTCCCACACCTGGACCCTACCTATCGACCCATCAACTCATGAACCGGGGACCAACGGCTTTACTTCCCATCCGAAGGAAGGCGTGATCAGAGATGTTATGCCTCAGAACATCCCGGCGGCGCCGACTGAGATTGAACCCAGGCCTGCTGGGGTGAGAGGTGATCACGCTTACCACTACACCACCGGCGCCGTTATTCTGCTGCATTATGAAATCATGAATTTCCATAACGGAATCATGAATCGTTGTTATGATTTCATGGGATGGCAAGTTTTTTGATTTCATGATTTTTTATTCCTCCATCATAACGGGAGCCGCCTCCAGTGATTTCATTGTATGGCAGTATCGCCAACGGGAGGCAGAGCCCTTCCATTGCAGCAATGGACGCAAAACGTGCTTAGCA